AACGTTGTCAGCTTTTCTGTGACCGAAAATAGAGATTTTCAGAAACTGTTAGAATGGCTCGAAATCTATGAACGTGCAAGTAACGCCCGTGTAAACTAAGATAAATCCACAGGATTGTGGGTAGAAAGTTGGAAAACCCGTATTGACTCACCATTGGGGATTCAGTGGAATAATACCGGATTGAAAATGCTTGGTACATACATAGGCAATACTGCAGGATACAACCAACAAAACTGGGATGAAGCAATCGAAACAAATTACCTCAAAACTTGAATGTGGTGGCGCTATGCCCATGCAATCTCATATCAAAAGAGGGTCATTATTGTCAATCAACTTGTTGCAACCAAATTATTCCGTCGTCTTGTTTGTCTGTGCCCTCCAAGCTCTGTAATCAATGAAATTGAAAATATATTCCCTGATTTCTTGTTGCAAGGGCGCCACTGGAAACCATCCACCCTTTGGTATACACCACTTACATATGGAGTACGAGGCTTAGTACACATTTCCATTTGTATAATATCTTTCTGCTTACAATATATACAGCGATACCTCTATTCTGGTTTAAATCGTCCATCTTTTTCCTTTACTGATTACTTTCTAAGTCAAACAAATATATTTAAATGTTTATTATTGACCTTCACAGAACTGATCTGTACTGCAATCAATATGTTATCATGAGAATGAAACAGTTTTAAATTGCCCGTTATATTAAATCGAAAAAGGCAATCTATACAAGTTCTTGATACATAAACAAATGCTTGAAAAACAGTTCGACCATCTAGACAGTGTGGAGAGATTTGCTGTCTCCCCAATGCAATACGACCTGACTTTAGTGTTTGTCACTTACCTCCCATTTCTAAACAGGAAGGCGATCTTCAGTGGCGTGTCCTACATGGAACTTACGCAAAAGGAACATTCCTTTTCAAAAGCAACTATCGTCCCAACTTAAACTGCATATTTTGTCAGAACAAAGATGATCTGATTCATATTTTGTTGCAGCGCCCACGCCTTCAACCTTTGTTTGAATTAGTTATATGCAAAAAACTAGTTGAAGGTAACTTCATATAACCTTATTGGTGGTTTAATTGTTCTTGGAACACCAATAAACATATAAGACCGCTGAAGAACTACATCCTAACTGCAGGGAAACTAGCTATTCATATTTCAAGGCGAAACGCCATCCATGATGATTTACCGATAGAAGTACTGCAAGTGTTAAAATCAAGACTGCGATCATAAATTTGTCGTAAATACAACTACTTCAAAAACTACATGAAGACCGACTACTTTATAAGTCGATGGTGTATCAATGAAGCACATGCTAAGTGTGAAGAAGGAAAATTGGTTATTGCAAGTTATATCATGTAAAATATTTTTAATGTAAAGTGGCATATTGTAATAATATTCAGTTTTTAAGAATGTACACATATAGATATAATATATGACAAAATATTTTGCTACTTATCTAAGTTTTATAAACATGTACTTAACTGAGCATTATTGATTGTAATGTTAATGTTAATTAATTGTAAATAAATGTTCATGTTAAAAATCAAAATCGAATCTTCTTCTCAACAACGCTTTATGTGAATGTGTGGGTGATGATCTACAAATAAATGTTTAACTGCATCATGATTTTTTTCTGCTCCAATCATCATTTAGACAAATGCGTATTAACTAGTGTGAAATTTTTTCAGGATAAGTCACCTTTCACTTTGCAAACCTATATTTTAAATAAATGACGTAAACGATTTGAATTAACAATTTGTTTCATTCTAAAATTTTTAATAATTGTACATAGAGAATGTAATTTGAATTGAATGATGACGACATGATAAATAAAGGTTTGTTAACAAATCAAATCTTCTTCGGCTTTATTCCCAGTTGCTGGGGTCGCCGGTGCGGATAATGCTTCTCCACTCGCTTCTATCAACCGCTTTCAGGTCGTCATCTATGCAATCCTGCCATCTTCTTGTTTGTCTTCCTCTCTTTCTTTTTCCATCTACAATGGGGACGCCCTAGCATGGTCGTGATCCAAAAATCTCCGCATTATATTTTGTTTGGCATGTTTTTTTTATTAACTGCTGGATGCCCTTCCTGCCGCAAGCCACTGTTATCGAACATGGGCCTAGCCTTTGCCTGAAGAGATATACCATGCAACTCAGCAGGTGGTTTGGAATCAGAGTTTTACTTCTCCTAGACTAGCTACCAATCAAGGCTATGAGTCCAGTCTACTCAAGCAAGGTTTATTGAAAGGCGACCTTTTTCCGCCTTGACACTTCACCGTTAAAGGGCTTTGTGGCTTTGTATAGGTGTACTGGAGCCACCCTATAGACCACGGCCCATATTGATGATGCCCGATGCAGTTTAACTTTAACGTCATTACCTACTTTACTTAAAATACTGAAAAAAAATAAAAACAACTGTTGAGTGCAAAAAACAAAAACAATTAGAGACAAAGTCTGCTGAAAAAAAAATAATTCCATATTATATAGAGAAAAAAAGTAGGCTTTATTTCAATCTTACGGACCCCCCCCCCTCATGTATTACACAAATAACTAGTACATTTATTACGCTATGTTACTGAATACATTGTATTGACCAACTTCATTAAAAATTGTTTTCCAAATTAACACAAAACTTGTCTATCACCTTGTGATGTTTCAACATTTATAGGCTAAACTTGGGCTATGGGGACTAAACCTATGACACGGTTGTTCTTTTATTCAAATAAAATTAAAAAATCATTAAATAACAAGCATTAAAATATTTTCTTTCTTGGAACATTAGTTTGAGAATGAAAACTCGCATGCAAGAAGAGACAATATTATTAAGTATTTATTTATTAGGCAATTACGTTCATAATTGAACTCCGTAAAATGTCACTAATAACTAATTAATTAACTTAGTAACAATTTTAACCTTGTAGCGGTCAATGGATTATGGAGTATTACATTCTTTCACAGAGTAAACCTTTGAACCAAAGGTAAGAACAGTGTTATCATTGCTTGTTACTATCTACTGTACTATATGGATAATGTTTCAGTTTATTAGTTCTTAAGTCTGGTCGTAATTATAAACTCCAATTAAGAATGCTTTGACTACTTCTTCCCAAAAAGGTTGTTGAAATTGAATGATGGAAATCTCATAGACCGACATATTCACTGCTTTGCCCAAAATTCTCGATATCCTCTGCAATCGCCACACTGAATTATTTTAGGTACACAAACTAATATTTAATACAACTAATCTTATAATGGTCATTAATTTAGTACTTGAATACATCTACTAAAAGGTTCAACTGATGTTAAGACACTTAATAATACAACCATCTGTAGTGTTGTATTCACAACTTTTTCATCTTATTTTTAACATTTGATTCCTCTTCATCCTCGGACACGCTTCCATAATTATTAGGAGTTGTCACACTCTGTGGTTGCCATAAGTCTACGGAACTACTTGTAATACATGGTGACTCGGTAGGCATTATGTAATAACGGTTTAGATCATTGTTTTCTTCTTCTAGTGTCATGGCCAATTTGCTGTGACGAATTCCATAACAGAAATACAGCATCATACCTAAAATATATTTGTGTAACAGTTAAATTTTTCGGTTGTAGTGGATGTTAGGTAAATTAAGGGTAAACTGAAATTTAATAATGGATTTTGTACAATAAAAATGCAATACGCAATTATGATAAAAAAGTAGAATTGTGATTGAAAGGGCATTTCAGGCATTTAAGATATTTAAATACTTAAGATGAAAGTGACGTATATGTTATCATTTAATATAAGACTGCAAATGCAAATGGCGATGGCGATTGTGTATCTGGAACGAACCAGTGAACATCAAGTGGCATATTGCCTCTGGAATGGGTATTTCTATTAAATATAATATACCAACTTCATTTTAAAGGTGATTCTGAGATGCAAAAGTAAATTTAAAGCACGATAAACGTTTTATTTGCAACCGTGGTTACATTAATTGGGCCCGGGGCAAGCAAACAATGATTATAAATACAACGAGCGGTCATGCAAATTCGCACCTACCAGTTTACACGAATAAAGCAAAACCATGTGAAAATAATTATAAAACGCAAAAACTATGACACTCACGGTATTATGTTTTCAGAATTTTCTCCCATTTCGTTTTTTTTTCAAACATAGCTATTTTTACCCCTTTCATTAGTAGTATAATCCAAGGATAAAAGTTGGAAGAATTGGAAATTTATATATATCGATATATAACGGCGTATCTCTTATGCGAGCATGTTATATTGAGCTTATAAACGGTATTTGGCAGCAGAGAAGTCTTACATCCGCTACCACATACTCTCGCATGCCATTTATGCTTTATAAAGATTTCGCTTAGTTTCTCATACAAACAAATCATGGATAACTTTTATGCCAAATCAAAATCGAAAATGTAAATCTCTGACTTAGTTCAAGAAACACAAAATTTTATTTGTGTTTATTAAAATAAAGATTACATTTTTGAAACAATTTGTCATTGTTATCAAGTCATCTGCTGATTCTTAACTGATTTAATATTATGGATCTACACATGTAGTGAAAAAAACAATCGTTAGAAGTTACTTCACATAAATAATTAGATTTTATTAACATTATCTTACATACAGCAAGGCCGTTTATGCATAATATTATTATATATTCTATTTTCACATTCAATACTAAGCTACTCACGAACTGGTCACTATATAAAACCTCACAATTCATTTTGCTATTAATTTATAAGTGTGTATGTATTATGGGATGCGAGTTAAAGTTAGTATACTGGATAAAATATTACCTATATCTGTACCATGAGACAAATCGCATTGAACACATTATATGATTCTGAAACTTTTCAATACTTAACAATTACCTAGTGTTATCCAGACAGCAAATCTAACCCATGTCATATAAGATAGATTCATCATAAGCATAGCGTTACAAAATATACTCAGAGATGGTATTAATGGGACCAACGGCATCTGAAACACATCAACATTGTGTGTACACAGGTTAAACAATATGTGTCAACATGAAAGTAAGTGGTTGATAAATTACCTAAAATAATTAAAATATTAGAATAAAATACATTTTTAAGAATTGTCTCCTCATACAAGTACTAATGAAAATAGAAAAGCACATACCTTGAACGTCACAATACTCGTATTCTGATAGTGTATGCATAACACAAAAAAACAAAGTAACACGACCGATCCAAATATAACCACAATCACAATAACCCAGAACCTTGCTTCTGCTAGTGCGTCACCACAGAATACAATAACAGCAGCTAATGTAAACATGAATATGGACATTATAAATACTGCAAAAGCTGGTATAGTACCAGGTGTAGCATTTCGTAAAGTCCTGCAGCCATTAAACGATTCTCTGACTTCGCCACCATGTAAATGGGAGTCTACACTATTCAACGGAGATGTTTCATCTTTTCGCTTCAAATTCATTTCAATTGTATCTTTATTTTTATGTTTGTAGACAATTGTCAATGCCTCTGCTGGTTCATATCGTAGTACAAGTACACCAGCAGCTACAATGGTGTATGCTAACAGAGTACCAATTGAC